GAATCATTGATATTATTGCTCCTGATCTGGCGGCTCGGCTTCAGTTACTTTTTCACCGCCGTATGGTTGCCTCTCTATGACTTTTCTATAAATATTTTCATGGTAATTGCTTGAATGAGCTCTTTGGTATGGTGCCTAGAGTTTTAGAATTTGGCGTCGAGATCTAATCAATTTACAGTTGAGCTGGCGAGATGTAGTCGTAAATTCTATGCTAACAGTTTTCTCGCTTGTGAATCCAGGTCTCCAGCCAACTTTAATCTGTAAAAATTTAAATGCAATGTCAATCGCTATCTACAGTACTGCTGATTACTCTTTCCTCTACCAGCTCATTATTAAAGTTTATGTGCCTAATTCTTCCACACCCTCTAACCCCTTGTGTTTTAGCGTGATACAGATTATATATATATATATATATATATATATATATGTGTGTGTGTGTGTGTGTGTGTGCATGTGTGTAAGATAAGGACACATGCAGTATAATTCCACTGTCCGAACTGGTGTAGACCATTGATAAGTCCACTTGTGTTTTTGATACAACGGGTCATCACGCAGATCTCCTAGATCTCTTTCACACATCCGCTGATGGGCTACCATCATTGGAAACTTGTAACCATTCGCTGGTCAATGTTAAAGTTGATGTCAAACCGAAAATATCTTCTGATGTCCCATTTCATAGTTCAGAGTTTACACTGCGAAATATCCTCTTTAAGCTTTCTTCAAAAACAGAGATTCCAGAACTACTTATCTAATTCCCTTTCATGCATATAAGGTTTTATCCCACAGAAAAAATACCAACAGAAGCCAAATAACCAGCCTTGGTTCACGCCAGTATGTACTGCAGTCATAGCCCATTGTAACCTTTACAAACCTATCTACTACAGTGAACGTTGTAGTAGGACCCTTGCTGCACCCAGAACTGCGCGCAGTCATTGCAACAGTATGCTAAAAAGCCAAAGATCAGCTATTCACAGTCAGTCCAGACCAAGAATGAAAATAAAAGACTTGGTTCCTTTGAGCTCTGGAAAATCTCGAATAAAATTCTCAATAGTGGCAATCATCAGTGATAAATGGCCTGGGGTTATTTTATTCTCGTCAGACGAGGAGAGGCTCTCTGCAATTAATTTTGCCTCTAATTCCACGTCAGATGATAAGGACCACCCGTTACTTGACTTCCCCCTTCTCACGGATCTCTATCACGACACGTGAATTTTTCAGATTTATCAAAATCCTTGATTCTAAGAAGGCTATTGGTTCAAATAAAATATTAGTAGTTGTTCTTGAGAAAATCAGCCCAGGGTTAGCTCAAAATTGTTTAACTGCTGACTGAAGGAGAGATGTTTTCCGAGTCTATAGAAGGTGTCAACTATATGTCCCGTTTTTAAGAATTCCGGTGAGCGCTTATCCCGTCGCAATATTGTCCCAATGGCCTCCTTAGTTTCATCAGTAAAATCTTCGGGTCTATAGTCAACATGAAAGTTGTTGAACACCTCAACAAGAACAAGTTTCTGTGCGATAACCAATATGAATTTCGCACTGCCATTACTTACAGAATCAGTGAAGTACTAGACAATAAATTCATCACCAGGACGATCGCCTTAAACATATCAAATCAGCTATGGAAGGGCTTTCTCAATTATCAAGTTCTTCCTAACAGGTAGGTTACATGCAAATCGTTGTTAATGGAGAGTCAGCGGAAACCCACGAGATAATGCCGGCGTACTTGAAGGCTCTCTTCTTGGTCCTACCCGCTTTCTGTTTTAGATTAACGATCTACCTAAGAACATACTCTGGTCTTTAGTAAATATCTGTGCAGATGATACAACGATTTATTGGTGTACATCCTAAAATCTAGATAACCAGAAGATGGCAGCTGATTTCTCCTCCGATCAAGCTCTTACGGCTCAGTGTGAGTGTGTGTGGTGGGGGACTGGCTTGTGACATACACGTCCAAAACCAAACTAGTAACGTTCCATCATCATTGAGCAGAGAATGATCGATGTGCGTTCTTTCAAGGAAGCACCTTTCTTTGAACACATATTGTGACACAAGCAGAGTCCAGATCTCAAGTGGAACTCATATATAGAATCCATTGCTAATGAATCTGGAAAAAAAAAGGTCGGTTCCTTGTAACGCGCCAGTAAGTATCTGACGTTCCCCCACCTGCCGTGTTCTATCTTTACAAGAGTCAGATCACACCAAAAATAGAGCATTGTTGCCATATCTCGGCTGGAGCTGCCTAAATTCAAACTTGCCTGTCTTGAGTGAGTTCAAAAACATCTACGCCGCTTGTGAGTGATTATTTTGAACTCTACAACCTTCTCTTCCACAGACAAAACGTTGCTATGTTCTGACGAGCTACAATCCTTATTACCACCAGTTCTGAACTTTGCAGCTAAGACTCGCTATGCCTCGTACACTGAGTCGAACCATGCTTGTCTCCCTTCGTATTCCATTAGTAAGAAGGGAGTTCTATTCAGACATCATCATCTAAAGAAATGCTACTTTGCGGAACAGACTCCTGAGAGGATGCTACCTCGATCACAACAATCTTAACCTCTTCAAATCTAAGGTTAACAGTTATTTCTCCTACATAACAATAATAAACTGCACTTTTTAGTTCTTCTTTTTTTCGCTAACACATCATTTAGTAACCCTCTACCTTGAGTGGCTCTTGGTGAAATTGTAAAAACAAAAACAAAATCACAGTAAAAAGCCATTACCTACATCCGATAGTGGAAAAGTAACCAGCAGACTGGCAGGCAGTTGAATTTTGACCTAAAATCTTTTGCTGTATAATATTCGATCTCTGTGTTTAATTATGTCAGTGCCTTGCTATTGTCTGTTGTTGTAGCGCAATTATGTGGGAATTTATTCTAGGGGTTTTCAGTTTCATGACTTTTCATCCTATATTAAGTCGAAGTTATACAAGTGTCAAATAAGCAAGTCTCTTTTTTTCTCAATCTGTTTTACATGGATATTTTCGTTACTAGATTTTACAAGACAGCTAAAATAGAGTCATTTTAGATAGAGTTTTTAATCAAAGTAATTTTTTTCATGAATCATTTTACAATGATAAATGGCAGTTTATATCCATTGTCTCTTAAATTACATGAATATAAATCCTTGTCCTATTATGAGCAATTTTATAAATTATGTCTTATTTTTTAAAGAAGGGAATTATTTTATGTTAAGATAGAGATCTCAGTTTTTCTTTTACATAGAATTGAACATAGAATCGAAATTGATATGTTTCATATAAAGTGATCGGTGGATGCGCATGTTCCTTATATATTTGCGGTGATAGATATTTATGTCCTTTTATTGTCGCAGATTTTACAAGTATATGAATAGATACTCGCTACAGTGTGCCACAACAAATTTCATATATATGTCGAGTTTTTAGTAGCTTTTAAAAAATTTTTAATGGAATCGAGCGGACAAACTCATCACTATTACGCCTTACACTCTGATTCAAGAATAGATCAGGAGAAAAATATAGCAATAGCAATAAATAAAGCAAGAAAGAAGTTTAGAATTAATGGGACTAGGATATAAAAGAAAAAGCGAGAGAAAGAAAGTGAAGAGGAGGAACTGAGATGGATCAACTTATATGATTAAAAAAAAACCAAGTCTTGAAGACGAGGCTCGATATATAAAATGGAGAGAAAGACAAGCGGATTAATTGTCAAAGAAAGATGAACATGAAATAAGCGCTTGACGAAATGGGATAGAGATATCTGTTATTATCTGTCCACAAAGCCAAAAATGAAGAATGAAAAAAGAAAGGGTAAAGAAAAGAAGTACTTATAAAGATTCTTGCTAAATTCACTTCACATTTGTAAGTGAATGAGACAAATTGTTTAGCACAACCATATTTATATCAGCTGACCAGGAATAAAGCGTAAAGTATACAAATGTATGTATGTATGTATGTATCTTTCTATCTCGAAAAAGAGGGCAAGAGACTCGGAGAAGTTTCGTACAACGCAGCAAAACTATGTGTTAAGGTGAAAAAATGCAGGAAAAATTTCCTGTAAAATTTTTAGTATATATATATATATATATATATATATATATATGATTTTAGATAGTATTTTCCTTACTTTTTTCCGTATATATATATATATATATATATATATATATATATATATATATATATATATATATATATATATATATGTGTGTGTGTGCGTGTGTGTAAAATTAGGAAATCAGTCGATTCGGCTACTCTGATTATTAACCGTTTATGTTTATATATATATATATATATATATATATATATATATATATAATTTTTTGCAAGATATAGCATCAGATCATCACTGCATATTTAGTTCTACCCTCACAAGGTGCTCTTAACGTGTGACCTTGTATCATACTAATAAAATCTTAATGAATGCCAATGTAGACCAAAGTTGTTCGTACTGTAATCCAATCTGATGTAGTTAATTCAGTTTTCTGTGGATTCTCAATTATTGATACATTGTGCTAGATTGAGATTAACCTAAAATATAAGGACATAGACATACAAATATATTTTCAAGTCATGTGTATCGTTGAATTATGATTTGTTGACTAAGAAGTAAAACAAACTCTTAGGACCAAAGATAAAACACATGGCAAAAAATATTACTTGGCTCCTCCGATCCGCTCGATTCTTCAACTTGTAATGCTAAACACATTATGAGAAATTCACTCTTTAGACCTGAATTCATAGTTGTTGTTGTTGTTCTTCTCCCAGATGAGTTGCCAACTATCAGTTAGAGAAACAACTTTGCTCTCTTAAGTGGGACGTGGGAAGAGCGGCATTAACTGAAAATAAACATAAATTATTTAGCTTGAATTTGAACACTGTTTGCCGATTCCGTTTTCCATGCAGGAAAATTCCAATAATCAACTCGGAGCTCTGCTAAATAAGAACCAAGAACTTGTGGAATAAAAAATATAAAAATAAAAAATATAAAAGTGTAACATTAATACGAAAAAAGAGAAAATAATTAAGAGTGAAAGAATTTCGTGATGTAGAAAAAGATGAGAGAGAGAGAGAGAGAGAGAGAGAGAGAGAGAGAGAGATAGAGAAAGAGATATAGATAGATGGATAGAAAGGGTGTGTATGTAAGAGCTAGAGAGAAAAATTAGGAGAGAAAGGAAGGATAAAAGAGAGTGAGTGATTGAGAAATATATTCCTTAAAAATTTATTCATGTCTGTCGTTTCTGTGTAGAAAGTATATAGACGGAGAATGAGAGAGGATAGAGAGAGTGAGTGGGTGAGAGAGAGAGAGAGAGAGAGAGAGAGAGAGGAATAAAGTGCAAATGAAGAGAATTAAAAAAAAGAAGAAAGGAATGGATAAGTTAAAAATTATCTAAATGTAGTGAGATGTTAAACAAGAATGAAATTAATTTGCAAATTAGAAGAAATGGGCCGAACTATAAAATTGATAAAATATAAAAAAGAGTGTGTATGTGTGTGTGTGTGTGATATATATATATATATATATATATATATATATATAGAGAGAGAGAGAGAGAGATAGATAGATAGATAGATAGATAGATAGATAGATAGATAGATAGATAGATAGATCAGTAGATAGATAGATAGATAGATAGATAGATAAAGAGAGAGAGAGAGACAGAGACAGAGAGCAGGAATTAAGAGGAAAAGAAAGAGTATGACGTGAATGTTGAAGAAAGAGGAAAACATAACAAGTAAATGAACAGAAACAGTATAATGAATAAGAAGATATTAATGGTGACAAAAGCAGAAAAACAAAACAGACAGAAAGAGAAGACAACATAGGAAATAAAAAGCGGAAAAAGGCAACCCTTCTTTATTTTCGCTCGTCCTTCTCCCCATCTTAGCTTGCCGACAAAAATAAAACAAAGCCAACAAATACGACAGAGTATGTCTAGAAATGGTGATATGGAATGGGTCGGGCGCTAATTAGTTGAAGATGGTTAGGATAGGGGGCATAATTGGAATGAAACGAAATACAGGGTTCACTTACAACGAGGACTGCCAAACCAATTTGCGGAGGAAAAAAAGAAGCTTTTTGAAATTATTCTTGGAAACGAGGCTGGGAAAAATAAACGACTGATTGGCACTTTTTAAAGAGAAGTCAAAACGAGGCTGGGGTTGGAGCCGTCGTGAATGAAGGGATAAAGGATTGATAGATTTAGAAACTCGAAGATAATAAAGCAAAGATAATATATATATATATATATATATATATATATATATATATATATATATATATATATATATATAAAGTGAACAATAAAAGTCAACACTGAAGCGACAGTCTGTTTCATGCTATAGACAATCGTCTCTAAGTGTTGACTTATGTTCACTGAAATATTTACACACGCTCTCACTCTATCTCTTATATTGAGCACTTTATTCCATAAATATAGCACACCTTAAGACTATATTTCTTTATATATATATATATATATATATATATATATATATATATATATATATATATATATATAAAGGATAAGTGTGAGAAGGAAAAAGAAATAACGAAAGATAGGAGAAAGAGAGAGAGAGAGAGAGAGAGAAAATGAGAAAGAAGTGATATAGGATAGAAAAATAAAAAAGAGATATAATAATTTGCAAAACAGATTACTGGGGAAAGTTGCGAAGAGGACATTTGAAGAGAGATACTGAATCCCTATAAATGAGCAGCGCCGAACATTTCCATATAAAACAATTAATAGACAAGATCGATTATAATAATAAATGTGGAGACAGGAATCATATAATCAACAATATCATGAATGAATACGGATATTATTTACTATGGGTAACTTAGTTTAGGTACAAGGCTGAAAGTATGAGGAAACAAGGAAATAGAACGAAATAGATATAATAACGGTGGATGAAAGGAATGAAATCGATTCTGCATTCAAGGGATTTGAAGTGTAAACCAGAATAAGCCAACAAAGACGACTTACACCTGCTCAAAACTGGATTACAGTGAACAAAAGGATTAAAAGGGGATACAAGAAGGTGAATTCTAAAATGGGAAGAAAAAACAATTTTATAGACAAACAGGAGATAGATCGAGAGAATAGTAAATGAATGGCCAAGGAGTTGAAAATCGAGGAACTGATTTATACACGACACAAAACAATGTTATAAGAACCAACTAAATACTAAACAGGGGGAGATAAAATTCAGAAGGACAGCAAATGTAGATTACTGTGGAAAAAAATTGAGAAAATCAGTCAAGAATCGCATAGTTCAGAAGAATCCCCAAATAGGCTTAACAGGGTGGGGAAAGTGATCCAATGGAAATAGTGCAAGCATCAGCAATTGAATCATACTGATACAATCCAGAATCTGTCCTAGAAAATGAAGCACATAAAATCTACCGAGACTTTGTGGTTTCAAAGTGATTACCCAGGCCAGGTCAGAAGACACGAAGAGAACGTGCCCATTTGTAGGTGTCGTGGCGGTTCACAGAATAAATCTGAAAGAATGGAAAAGAACATGAAGGTGACAGTCGTGTCAGCTATTATTGGAGTCCTGAGAACAATCATGAAAGGTTTATGGAAAAAGCTCGAGAAACAGTAACGGTATTATGGAAAATAGCTAGAATACTGAGGAGAGTGCTGTAGAATATCACTTGATCTTTAGTGTAGACGATCAGTTACTTCTACTGGGAAAAGTTAATGAGTATTATTATTATTATTAGTAATAATAATAATAATAATAATAATAATGTCATGGTCTGTTAAATGACTCGTAAACGAAAGAAAGAAAAAAATAAAGACAACTTGCTAAGCTGTGAATGAATTGAAAGATAAAGAAGAAAGATAAAGAAGAAAGATAAAGAAGAAAGATAAAGAAGAAAGATAAAGAAGAAAGATAAAGAAGAAAGATAAAGAAAGAAGAAAGATAAAGAAGAAAGATAAAGAAGAAAGATAAAGAAAGAAGAAAGATAAAGAAGAAAGATAAAGAAGAAAGATAAAGAAGAAAGATAAAGAAGAAAGATAAAGAAAGAAGAAAGATAAAGAAGAAAGATAAAGAAGAAAGATAAAGAAGAAAGATAAAGAAGAAAGATAAAGAAGAAAGATAAAGAAGAAAGATAAAGAAGAAAGATAAAAGAAGAAAGATAAAGAAGAAAGATAAAGAAAGAAGAAAGATAAAGAAGAAAGATAAAGAAGAAAGATAAAAGAAGAAAGATAAAGAAGAAAGAAGAAAGATAAAGAAGAAAGATAAAAAGAAAAGATAAAGAAGAAAGATAAAGAAGAAAGATAAAGAAGAAAGATAAAGAAAGAAGAAAGATAAAGAAGAAAGATAAAGAAGAAAGATAAAGAAGAAAGATAAAAAAGAAAGATAAAGAAGAAAGATAAAGAAGAAAGATAAAGAAGAAAGATAAAGAAAGAAGAAAGATAAAGAAAGAAAAAAAGAAAAAGATAAAGAAAGAAGAAAAATAAAGAAGAAAGATAAAGAAGAAAGATAAAGAAGAAAGATAAAGAAGAAAGATAAAAAGAAAGATAAAGAAGAAAGATAAAGAAAGAAAGATAAAGAAGAAAGATAAAGAAGAAAGATAAAAAAAAAGAAGAAAGATAAAGAAGAAAGATAAAGAAGAAAGATAAAAAGAAGAAAGATAAAAAAAGAAAGATAAAGAAGAAAGATAAAAGAAAAAGATAAAGAAGAAAGATAAAAAAGAAAGAAGAAAGATAAAGAAGAAAGATAAAGAAGAAAGATAAAGAAAGAAGAAAGATAAAGAAGAAAGATAAAAAGAAAGATAAAGAAGAAAGATAAAGAAGAAAATAAAAAAAGAAAGATAAAGAAGAAAGATAAAGAAGAAAGATAAAGAAGAAAGATAAAGAAGAAAGATAAAAAAGAAAGATAAAGAAGAAAGATAAAGAAGAAAGATAAAAGAAGAAAGATAAAGAAGAAAGATAAAGAAAGAAGAAAGATAAAGAAGAAAGATAAAGAAAAAAAGATAAAAGAAAGAAGAAAGATAAAGAAGAAAGATAAAGAAGAAAGATAAAGAAGAAAGATAAAGAAGAAAGATAAAAAAGAAAGATAAAGAAGAAAGATAAAGAAGAAAGATAAAGAAGAAAGATAAAAAAGAAAGATAAAAAAGAAAGATAAAGAATAATAAAAGAAAATAAAAAATAAAGAAGAAAGATAAAAGAAGAAAGATAAAAAAGAAGAAAGATAAAGAAGAAAGATAAAGAAGAAAAGATAAAGAAGAAAGATAAAGAAGAAAGATAAAGAAGAAAATAAAGAAAGAAGAAAGATAAAGAAGAAAGATAAAGAAGAAAAAGATAAAGAAGAAAGATAAAGAAAGAAGAAAAAGATAAAGAAGAAAGATAAAGAAGAAAGATAAAGAAGAAAGATAAAGAAGAAAGATAAAGAAGAAAGATAAAAAGAAAGATAAAAGAAAGAAGAAAGATAAAGAAGAAAGATAAAGAAGAAAGATAAAGAAAGAAAGATAAAGAAGAAAGATAAAAGAAAGAAGAAAGATAAAGAAGAAAGATAAAGAAGAAAGATAAAGAAGAAAGATAAAGAAAGAAGAAAGATAAAGAAGAAAGATAAAGAAAGAAGAAAGATAAAGAAGAAAGATAAAGAAGAAAGATAAAGAAGAAAGATAAAGAAGAAAGATAAAGAAGAAAGATAAAGAAGAAAGATAAAAAAGAAAGATAAAGAAGAAAGATAAAGAAGAAAGATAAAGAAGAAAGATAAAGAAAGAAGAAAGATAAAGAAGAAAGATAAAGAAGAAAGATAAAGAAGAAAGATAAAGAAGAAAGATAAAGAAGAAAGATAAAAGAAAGAAGAAAAGATAAAGAAGAAAGATAAAAGAAGAAAGATAAAGAAAGAAGAAAGATAAAAAGAAAGATAAAGAAAGAAGAAAGATAAAAAGAAAGATAAAGAAGAAAAGATAAAGAAGAAAGATAAAGAAGAAAGATAAAAGAAGAAAGATAAAGAAAGAAGAAAGATAAAAAGAAAGATAAAGAAGAAAGATAAAGAAGAAAGATAAAGAAGAAAGATAAAGAAAGAAGAAAGATAAAGAAGAAAGATAAAGAAGAAAGATAAAGAAGAAAGATAAAGAAGAAAGATAAAAAAGAAAGATAAAGAAGAAAGATAAAGAAGAAAGATAAAGAAGAAAGATAAAGAAGAAAGATAAAGAAGAAAGATAAAGAAAGAAGAAAGATAAAGAAGAAAGATAAAGAAGAAAGATAAAGAAGAAAGATAAAGAAAGAAGAAAGATAAAGAAGAAAGATAAAGAAGAAAGATAAAGAAGAAAGATAAAGAAGAAAGATAAAGAAAGAAGAAAGATAAAGAAGAAAGATAAAGAAGAAAGATAAAGAAGAAAGATAAAGAAAAAGAAAGAAAGAAAGATAAAGAAGAAAGATAAAGAAGAAAGATAAAGAAAGAAGAAAGATAAAGAAGAAAGATAAAGAAGAAAGATAAAGAAAGAAGAAAGATAAAAAAGAAAGATAAAGAAGAAAGATAAAGAAGAAAGATAAAGAAGAAAGATAAAGAAGAAAGATAAAGAAAGAAGAAAGATAAAGAAGAAAGATAAAGAAGAAAGATAAAAAAAAAAAAAGATAAAAAAAGAAAGATAAAGAAGAAAGATAAAGAAGAAAGATAAAGAAGAAAGATAAAGAAGAAAGATAAAGAAAGAAGAAAGATAAAGAAGAAAGATAAAGAAGAAAGATAAAGAAAGAAGAAAGATAAAAAAGAAAGATAAAGAAGAAAGATAAAGAAGAAAGATAAAGAAGAAAGATAAAAAAGAAAGATAAAACTAGTGAGAGAGAAGAATGCAAAAAGTTGTTGAGATATAATGAAGAAATGAAAAGAAGGAAAGAAAGAATTTCTTTAATGAATAAAATAAAAATTAGAATTAGAAGGCAAAAAGGTGTAGAGAGGATGAAATAAGGGACAATGATGCCAGGCGTAAAGAAAAAAAAATAAAGAATCGGAGAGAGGCGGAGGAGAAGGGTGTAAACATTTGAAGGACATGCCAATACAGAGGGAAAGAAAGAGAGAGAAAGAGAAAGAGAGAGGGAGAGAGAGAGAGAGAGAGAGAGAGAGAGAGAGAAGATAATCGGAAAGAAGAGAAAAAAGAAAAGCAAAGAAAAAAGAAATGAGAAGAAAAGAGAAGAAAAGAGAAGAAAAGAGAAAAACTGTGTTATACTCTTAAAAACAAAACTATTTTAGCGTTGGAGAAGAAATGATGGCGTAAAAATGATAAAAAGAAAAAGACAAGTAGATAGGTAGATAGAAGGAAGGTGAAAGAGCTAGATGGGGGAGAAGAGATGGAGTAAGGGAAAGGAAAGGAAGAAATGTTGAAAAAGCAAAAAAAAAAAAAAAAAAGAGAATCAGAAAAACCCTTGGAGAAAGAGGAAAAGAACGAATAAAAAGAAATCAAATTAAAGGGAGAAGGGAAAGGAGGAAATAAAGAGAAATGGAGCAGGGAGGAGAAAATAGTGACTAAGGGAGAAAAAGCAGTGAGAGTCTGACAAAAAGAGAGAAGAAAAAGAAGAAGAAGAAGAAGAAGAAGAAGAGAGAGGGCGAGATACAGAGTAGCAAGAGGGAAGGATTGTGGATAGAAAGTGAGTGAAGAGAGAAGGGGGAGATAGACGGAAGAGCAGAGACAAATAAAAGAAACAGTACTTAAGAAAGAGTGAGAGAGAAAAAGTAAGTGTGTGAGTGATCGAGTGAGTGAGAGAGAGAGAGAGAGAGAGAGAGGGGGAGAGTGTGAGAGAGAAGTGGGACAGTAGAAGAGAAAATTAGACCTAAAAACAATGAAGATAATTACTTTTTCTTTTTTCTACTTTTACGCTATTTCATTATTCTCCAAATGCATTTTTTTTACTGACTGCTATTATTTTAAAAATTGGCATCGCAAAACCAAAAGCCATTAAAAGAGAAAATTTAATCCTAGCCTCTACTGTATTTTACCTTTTCCTTTCAACTTCAACATCCTTTCGATATTTCAACGCCCCTTCTCTTCACCCACTCATCTCAAAAAGTCACAATTTTCTTGACCTGGTCGAGTCTCCTATCAAAATCACTCTCCTCCTCTTGATCTGCCAATGTCTGTCATTAACGACGAAGATAATATTTAATAAGAATTGAACTGAGAACGACATTGTGTACTTTTGTACATCACTGGTCGTAGAGGGGGGGTGAATATCATTTGACTGGGTAATGAAAAAAATACTAGCGTAAAGTATCATGATGTACATACATTTGTTAACCATTCACTCCCAGAAATGTATGCATATATATATATATATATATATATATATATATAAAAACTATACCCATGGAGGTAATTTAGTTTTTGGGAGTAAAAAAAAAATATATGCTCTGTTATAATAACTCTATGTGGATCATTTTTAATTTTTGATGTTAATAGAATCCACCTGGATTATATACAAACAGATCTATTACATGTACTCGTACTCTCTCTCTCTCTCTCTCTCTCTCTCTATATATATATATATATATATATATATATATATATATATATAGATAGATAGATAGATAGATAGATAGATTGAGTTGTGTGGATATGAGTTTATGACTCTGGGTTTCACGTTTTGCGATCATCAGACAAACTGTTTTACTTTTTAGAATTAAATCTATTTATGTTTGTTTGTGTTTGATGATGTTTGATGGCGGGAAGGGGGAATTCTCACTAAGTACTGCCAATATAAAATAATATATATATATATATATATATATATATATATATATATATATATATATATATATATATATATATATATGTGTGTGTGTGTGTGAGCCTATGGTGTGTATTTTATACTATTCTGACATGTATCAGCAGGGTAGATGCACGATCACACGTGCATATAAATAAATGCATAAATATATAAATACGGGAATGTACATGACAATACGAACTTGCACGTGCAAATATGATTCTTTAAAAAACTGAAACGACTGCTGTAGACGCGATATTTGAAAAAACGATGAAATCGACAAAGATAAAACCATTTTCATAATACTTTCAAGGTACATTTGACAATTTATATATAAACTATCATTGGAAAGCAGCAAATGGTACGAAATATGAAAAAAAATAACAAAAGAATTTCTTCTGGTTATTAAATAGACTTGTATCATGGCAAAAATATCTAAATCATGTAAAAGCATCTATTTTAGAATAATTTCCTTCCATGTCAGTGCAATTAATTCAGTAGTAAATATTAATTACTTAGATCCAATATTATTCAGTGAACATTTCAGATTGAAATTCTACTAATAACTACGTGTCAGGATAACAACTTATTGATCCGATCCACTCTCGCTTGTTCTCGGTGATATATTTTGCCTAATATTATGAAAATTTCGTATGAATCCTTCACACTGAGCTTATTCAATCACCTAGAGACGACGAAACTCAGCTAAATAGGCTCATTTGGGGATTCCTCATGAAAGATTTTTGGATGTCGTTATAAAATTCTTCACGGATGTATTTAAACGTAGTCCATTCGGACACTAGCAATATAGCGATCTGCGTTCCTCTGAAGTTCTGTACGTAATTCTGAGGCTATATTTTTTTATCATAACATGCATTCTCTTTAATCTAACACTAGCTACCAGAGATTGGTTCTTCTTGTTAAGCAAGGAGGTTATATCTTCTGCCGATTTCAGTTCTATCTACTATAGCCTAGAATGCTTTTTACGCCGTTACTCTATGTACCTGCTGTAAGTAGCACATTGTAACGAAACGTTTTCTCTTTTATGGTAAGGTGCAGCACACACAGCCTGCTTGTCAGATCTGCGAAGACAGGTAAACAGGTAAAAGTAAAAGTATATATATATATATATATATATATATATATATATATATATATATATATATATATGAACATTGAAGTCAACATTCAGAGGCGACAAGCTGTTACATGCTAGACGCAATTGTCAGGCCACCTATATTATATATATATATATAATTCCTTTGTTAAAACAGTTGAACAGTTCCATTATATTTTGGTCAAAATTAGTTAAATTTTAAACATGTGGAAAAGTCAGATATATGCGCGTAATAAAAAGTTGATTTGAACTACAGAAAAATTGCAGATGAAGTATTTGTTCTGTTCCATTGTTTCTGTAAGATTTACTTTGAATCGATTGAAAGCAACAAGCAATTTTGAAAGTAAAGCAAGAACAGGACGACCTCCTAAATTAAAAAAAAAAAGAGAAAGTATGTTTAAATTCTGAAATTGTGCTTCTGGACGCTTGCTGAAGAAACAAGCTTAATGAAAGCAGAACATAAGGACGACTTTCTAAAATAGGAATAATATCCGGATTATCTGAAAGATTTGCTGTTGAAACCGACGTCCTCGTGAGGCGACAAAAAACTAAACGGTTTAAATTTGTCAGGACTAGTGGAAAAATTGTTTGAAAATGCAAGTTCTAATGTATTAAATGCCTTTTACTTATAATAGAAGGCAGTGAGCGATGAGAACAGAAGAAAAGATATATTTGCCCACAGGGCTGTATTAGGCAGAGTAGGGGCAATGTTATGATGTATTACTGCTTCTCTGCTGAAGGCGTTGGAAATTATCTACTTGATAAATAGCATAATGAAGCGTAGAACGTATAAACAGATCCACATTAATCATACGATACCGTGTGGTCTTTGATTTATTTGCAATGGCCTTTAATTATCAAGATTATAATAATGAAAGGCAGCAGAGTTCTAATCTGTGCTGAAATTATTTGGCAAAAAATGAAAGTATGTTGTGTACTGTGGTTTGCTACAGACTTAAATCCTATTGAGCTTGGTGTGGCCTTGGAAAGATTGAAATTTACCGAGTGATAGAATTACGTATTAGGAAACCTTTTGACAACAAATCCAAATTCTCTAGCACAGATCTGTAAAAAAGCCCCTCCAAAACTCAGAGGTTCTAAGAGTAAATGGTGACCACACCATATAATATACCAATATGGTAAGCATATCATATAATATACCAATATGGTAAGCATATCATATAATATACCAATATGGTAACCATATCATATAATATACCAATATGGTAACCATATCATATAATATACCAATATATTTCCCTTCGTGTTTTTGGTCTTTTATCCGTTGTTATTTCCATTTTATTACACTAATTTCAATAAAAATATTTTCCTTTTTTTTATAACTTTGTTAAAAACAAGGTATACATAGAAAAATTCTAGCTTTTATTGGTTTTGTGCAGTGGTGAGATCAAAGTTAAATTACTAATCTCTTTCACCTCGACGTTTAAATATTTATCTTATATATATATATATATAAATGCGCAGGTATGCAGAAAATAGAAAAGAACACGTTGGGTGCATAATCCGGATTTCCTTAGTATTTTGGTTTTTATTTTTAAGAAGACAGTGCTCCATACATAAGTAGAGTTTTATTATAATAATATTTTTTTGTTTAAAAATATGATTCCTTTGCTACATAAGAGTTCTCATGTTTCAAAAACGAGAGCCGAAATCATCCAAATAATTTATTAAAATTAAGTTGAATTGAGGTGTTTAGTCTCGTTTCATCTTCAAGCGAAATTATATATATATATATATATATATATATAGAAAAAGTTTCAAATTAAAAATTATAATGTTTTATTTTATGAAAGTATTTATTTATTTATATATATATTTGATATTTCAAATTGTCCTCAATTTTTCATCAGAAATAACTGTTTGTTACAAATAAATTAAAATTACTGTTTGTTGGCAAGTAGCGTCCTTCGCGAGACGCGGACGTCACGTGATATGGAACGTCACTGTTCAGATATTCCTAACTTAAATCTAACTGTCATAAATATTATATATATATATATACTGCACAGTTCATTCAAAAATTGTCTGGATTTGAAAATGATTTACTGGAAATAATAAATAACATAACTTTCGAAGAAAAGAAAAGCTATTTCTAAAAACGTCTGGACAAAATATTGAAAGATATTAAAGCAATTGATAAAATTTTAATAAAATCGGATAAAACAGGAAAATTTTATAAATTAACAGCAAGGACTACAACAACCTAATTAAAAAAGAAACTATAAAAACTATAAAAAGGCTAGTAATAATTACGTAAATATGGTGAAAAACATTAATATTATTAGTAAAAACATCACAGATAAATTGAATATTAGTGATAGGGTAGGTAAACTTACAAAAAAAGTGATATAAAGGATCACAAACCCGATTTCGCAGCTAATTCGACTATTAGAATTATCAACTCAATCCAACCTGAAATCGGCAGAATTAATGTTAATGTTAATTTTCATAAATGTTATGGGTTTTGCTACCCACTACTCAGACATAACAGATGCAGAGAAAAACATAATTATGAACGCGAAAAAAATCGGTACTCATTCATAATGACTAGCAATGGATTAAAAACTCTAATAACCACTTCGATATCATAGTGATCATTGAACTCTGCATAGTCCTCTGCCTTTATTGGTCTTTTTATATTATATAATCTTATTGCATATCGTGAAATTAGTATATGTGGCATTGGATTGTATAGAGATGATGGACTTATGGTTATAAGGAATTCTACGTATTTTAAAATTGATAAAATTAGAAAACTATTACATAAAGAATTTAAATGCCTAAACTTGAAAATTACTGTAAATACTAAAATGAAAAAGTTAATTTCTTTGATATAACACTAGATTTAATGAATAATATATACCTATCATACAAAAAGCCCAATACTAATCCTTTGTATATACACCCTAAGTCTAATCATCCTCCATCTATAATTAAGCGTATACCTTCATCTGTTGAAAAAAGAATAAGTACAAATACAGCAAATGAGAAAATATTCTATGAACATGGTAATTTCTATAATAAAGTTCTAAAGAATAGTGGCTATAAATGCCCAAAACTCAATTATATAAAAAATGAAAATGGACACCATAGAAAAAATAGAAAAATCATTTGGTACACAACCCCATGCAACCAAATGGTAAGAAATAAGTTAGAACAAAAATTCCTTGCATTAATTGATAAACATTTTCCTAAAGATAATAAACTCAGTACAATTTTTAATAAAAATACCCTAAAATTAAGTTACAGTTTTACTGAAAACTTAGACATGATTATTAAGAAACGTAAATCTAATATCTTGAATAAACACTTATATCAAAATCAAAAAAATATACATCCTAAAATGAAAAGAAATGAAGATAATAAAAGTTATGTAACCGTAGAAATCCTCAAAACTGTCCTCTTAATAATAAATGTCGTATTGAATCAGTATTTTATCAATACAATATCTTATCTATTGAAAATCCAGACATGATTAAATTCTACATTGGATGCACACAGAAGGAATTAAAAAGAAAAGTCCTTTAATAGTAATAAATACCGAAATCAAACGTCCCTATCTAAATATTTCTGGCACTTAAAAGAAACCAATAAAACACCAACAGTAAAATGGAAGTTAATAAGAAAATGACCCATGTCCTTTGGGCATACATGAAAAATTATACATTATTAAGTTTCTGAAAAATAAAAATTTACTAAATCAAAGAAATGAAATAGTTATTTTTGTAGGCACTGTCAGATATTTTCCTTAAGTAATAACTAATTTTGAAAAAAAGTAATAAAGAAGAGAAATGAAACACACGTTTTTAAATTTGATTAGTAATTAAATTCTAATAAATACCGTATAGTTTATTAGTTATTAGAAGGACGAATGGTACTTTAAATCTGTAAGAATAAAATGTAATTTGAGAAATAAAGACACCAAAATTATGACAATATTGGCCATATAATTGATGATATTTATTTTATATTAGCATTTGACTAAATTGAAGCACGAAGAGAAATATTTTAAAGTCGGAATTTTCAGACACGCCTTTGTATTTTAATTCTGATTAGCGTCTTCATTTAACACCCGACAAGAAAGACGCAGATCTGAGTTAAAAAAAATTAAAAATAAAATCATACATTAGAGGATTAAACAAGGATTTATGTTTACTTAGAGAATATAATTTCCAAAGGGAGCCCTTTACCCAACAACAACAACAACAACATTCTTTAAAAGAATACGTCCCACTTCTTTATTTATTCCATATCTGATTGAAAAACGACACAGGCGTGTCCGAAAATTCCGACTTTAAAATCTTTCTCTTCATGTGTCAATTTAATCAAAAATCTATATATAATAAATACCATCAATCTTATTGTCAATATTGTTATCATTATGTCTTTTTATTCCTCAAATTTCATTAACCGGCCTATTATATCTCTCTCAATCTCTTTCTATCTGTGTGTGTGTATATATATATATATATATATATATATATTGCTTACTGACAGGCGTCTAAATGACCTTTAAGGCATAAGATATTTACTGTATCAAACAATTTGGAAGCATACATCCCGAAACACACGCATATATATATATGTTTACTCGAAGACAAATGAGGTAAAATTATCGGGCAACTGTCGTATCAAATTCTTTGAGTAAGATTAAAAAAGAAATATACATAAAGTTAAGATAAATTAAAGGAAGTGGATAAATTCCATTATGAGTAAATTTTAAATTTATAAAATTATTCCGTTTAATTTAAGAAGCAATTGAAGGAAATATAAAATGGATTCAAAATCCAATTATTTAACTTTCAAGTTATATTTTGTCTGCAATCATGCGTACAAAAATTAAATGGCTCGTTTTATTTTCATATTGTAGCAACGAACGACTTTTGCAGTGTTTGGCAGATTCCATATTGAAGCACATGGATATTCCCTCTCTCACTCTCTCTCTCTCTTATATATATATATATATATATATATATATATATATATATATATATACATACATATATATATATATATATATATATATATATATATATATATATATATATATATATATATATATATATATATATATATATACAAATACCACTGAACGTTGAAAAGTTTTCAGCACAACCAAGAAGGAATTCAAAATATAACTGTTTGGAAATTTAGTCAGATTTTGGGAAATGCGATGTTCAGTGAAATTTTCACTATTCTATCGTACATATATGTATATATGGAACACACACACACACACACACGTATATATATATATATATATATATATATATATATATATATATATATATATATATATATATATATATATATACATATTTCATGTCCCTTTATCTAACTTATTTATTTCATCAGATTTTTTTTTTTTTTTTTTACATGCGAGGAACTATTGTAGCAAGAAGTGAGGCCAAAACTGTAGCTAGTGTGTCGCAGTTACTTTATGTGGGGCGCTATCTATCCCTGATATAATCGCTCTCATCTGTATACCTGGGTGTTTTCGGCTGATGTTTAACGGGTTTTAACCAGAAACTGACTTCATTTTTTAATAAATTCTTGGTTTCATTCTTTAATTTTTGTGTCTCTTTTATGACCTTGTGTTCGTTTATTTTTTCATAAATATTGTCGATTTCGAGGAGTTTCATTTTTTGTTGATATGCGTGTATATCGATAATTATAATTCCACGCCCTTTGTCGGAAGGGGATTATATAAATGTTTTTGTTATTAAATATTTCTTTCAGGGCCTTTAATATATTTGCGGGTAAGTTCAGTTTCATTTGATTTTTCGAGTATGGCTGTAATTAGACCCTGGATATACCCTTTGTTGAACTCCAAGTCATTATGTTGGTTATTTTATTATCATTTTTCGGCAGGTCCAGTGACAAATTATTAGAACAAAGATAATAACTTCCAGATGTGTATCTGATGGTTTTAATTTTGTCTCTCGATTTTAGACTATTTACTTTTAGAAACTAATGTATTTAGTTTATTTTGTAAACGGCAGATTTATTTATTGCTTATGTGATTGATCGATTTTATGTGATTGATCGATTTTATGTGATTGATCGATTTTATGTGATTGATCGATTTTCTTAGTTTTCTCCATTTCTATTTAGTTCAGATGTTGTGGTGATGATGATAATTTTCTTATTTTGTTAGCTTTATCAAAAAGTATTTATTGTTGTTTTTCCAACACATCGGCAGAGGATTTCAGGAATCCTTGATCATATATAGGTAATATGTGATGTGAAGTTTTGAACAATATATGTAAACACTAAGGAATAACATTTATTCGATACAAGAAAGCTTTTTTTTGTTTTTTACAAGAATGCGTGGATATTAATAATTGTTTATCTTTCTCTCTCTCTCTCTCTCTCTCTCTCTCTCTATATATATATATATATATATATATATATATATATATATAGTCTAATTTCTAAGGTAAAGACGAGGACGAAATTGATACATTCGAAAAAAAAATCGTCCTCAACTTTATCAACGAACTTAGCAAAAAAAAAAAAAAACCCAAAAAAACCCTTTCCTGGATGTTCTTGTTGAGTAATAACAACACAATATATATCTATCTATCTATCTATCTATCTATCTATATATATATATATATATATATATATATATATATATATATATATATATATATATGAATTGCCACAGTAGGGCCTGTCACTGTTCATTTTCTCCTTTCAACCCACTTTTAAAATCTGATCAAATGACCATCATCAGAATTGTTTATATCTCTCCTTTGTCAGGCGGAATACTTTTCACTCACTCATATCTGTATTTGTATTCATTAGATAAATATGAAAATAAAAATGTTTTGAGTTTAGTAAATTTTTTAGTAAAATTTAAATATTCTTGGAGGGATGTATCAGCAGTAATTCATTTGTTTCTTTCATATTGTCTTGAAATGAATATCAAAGATATGAATAAATTGATTATATTATTATTATCATAATTTTTAATGTTTAAACTTTGACGGAATACTGTATTTAGAATAGACATTTGAAGGTGTGTATGGTCTAACAATTAATGGTAAGGAGAATGGAAGCAGTAAGCTAAGCTCCGGCTGAGACAAGTTTGTGTTCGTTCCGTACTCGCTAATAGCATTAGGAAAGGCCTGAACTTACCTCTCCTCAGAGTAGACAGCAGGGAAACTTGAATGTTTTAACCCTGTAAGACAATCCATTTTAGGCGTTCGGTAGAAAGTCATATCGGGGATATTATCTTGCTGTTGGTACCTGTCCAGAATTACTTGGAGAGGTGATAAGTATTGCTAAATAAACCTATTTACACTAAGATATACCATGAAATGAAATTAACTTGCATTGCATCCAGATAATTAGACATGGGACATGAGAAAACGTAGAGTTGTACATGAGTATTTATGATATATATATATATATATATATATATATATATATATATATATATATGTATATGATAAATACTCATGTATGTGTGTGTGTGTAGTCTAATGATGAAAAGTAGTTAATTTACAAAAATTATCAAATTTTCAATATAATCACCTTTGTTATCAAGTGAATGTTAATCACACAATTCGAACATTATACACTGAACATTTCAGGTAATCACTATGTGAAGTGGTACAGAATTATTGCTCGATACTTATGCGTGTGTATATATATATATATATATATATATATATATATATATATATATATATATATATATATATATATATATATGACGGACACTACTGTCGTTTTCGATGTATGAGTGTCTTATAGTTCAGCTTTTATGTTTATGTTTTGTATGAGAGAACAATCCTGCACGGAATTTGCAAACAAATCCGCACGAAAGGTATAATGAAGGGTTGACTGTCATATGGGCTGATGTATTAGCCCAAGATTTAGTGCTAATTCTTAATTCTCTCAGATGGTTGAGACGATTATTTTCCAAGTTAGTTATCCCTCGGTAGCAGGTGTTTCTCTAATTTGCTCGGTTTTCAACAGCAAGTTCGAACTCCTCTATAGGGATGTATGCAGCAATTAAGTTTATCCTTGAAGCGTAACCAAGAATAACTGTATATATATATATATATATATATATATATATATATATATATATATATATATATATATATATATATATGTAAGCAAATATGTGATATAGATCCGACAGATGAAGAAAAATATGGAAAAACAAAAATCCGAATATGCAAGTATGCTGTTTTAATGTTGTTTCAATGTCGACGTCAGACGTTTCGGTCTAGTAGACCTTCTTCAGGACATAGTTATTAAAACATAATTAAAATTAGACGATATTCAAGTCAACATGAAAAGACGATAGACATAAGACTAATCAAAACAGAATAATATATATATATATATATATATAGAGAGAGAGAGAGAGAGAGAGAGAGAAAGAGAGAGAGAGTGAGGGATAATTAATGGGTTTATTTTTAATTCGTCATTTTTTTATTAATTAAAATATTATTAAACGGGGTATCCAATATAATATCTAATTTGTAGCCATGTTTTATAGGATCGGTTTCCTTTGCGATTTGCCTCCTTTACCAATACCTACCTAATACCTAATGTTGTAAACTAAAATATTTTATATTATATATTAGACAATTAGAAAATTTTTTATTTGTTCTAAATTGTTTATATGGAAATTATAT